AAGGCTCTCAGGGAAGCCTGGCTGCATGGCTAACAGGTTGAAGTGGGAGGCGGGGGAATGGGGTTTGAGAAGATGAAGTGTGCACCGAAAAGGAATATGGACCTAAGAGAAAAGTTACTTTCTCAACTATGGCATTTCACATTAGCAGCTTTGTAATAAAGTGCTGGTAGAAGTGGTGGGTCCATTTACGACATATTCAATTCATTTAATTGAATGAAACAAATACTGAGCACCTGCTGTGTGGCTGTGGGCTAGGTGCTGCGGGGGATGAAAGATAAGCCAAGGTCACTGTCTTTAGAAAGCTTCTAATCTAACGGAAGAAAAGGCTATGAAAAGCAATGTAGCAGAGTGGGCATAAATGCTGGACTTAGAGTAGGAAGACAAGTTCAAGTTCTTTGCCTACACTATTCCCTCTGCCTAGACTACTCTGTCTGTGCCCTCCCCACCAGCCACCATCACCTCACAACTCTTATCCGCTGGATCTCATGGAAAACTTTTCCGACTTTCTTAACTGACTCAGTCAAATCTCTATCATCTACTCTATCATAACCATGTACCTTTTCCAGGTAACACTTAGAAATAGTTGCAGTTTTACATTTATTTGTGTGGTGATTTGATGAACTCCATGTGATCAAGGACCCTGGTCTTATTAACCATGGTACCCCCACCCCCAAGAGCTATATAGCCTGTTCTCACCATATTTATGGCATGACGGGAGGAGGACAGGAGGGGAGAAGGGAAGGAGGGAGGGAGTAAGCTCCTGGCTCTGACGCTTACTAGGTTGCAATGTAACTTATTTTCTCTGGTTCCTCATCTGTAAAATGGAAAATAGGGAACGTTTTCCAGGGTTGTTATGAGAATTAAATGAGATAATCGATGAGATACTCTTTCATAACTGTAAAGTCAATTGTATTTTAATACAAGGCAGGCTGTGGAAAGCATTATAGCAGTGAGAGACAAAAACAAAGCTAAAAGAGAAAGAAGGATAGGAGATTAGTTCCCTTTGGAATTGGGGCAGAGAACGGATCAACAAAGACTTAATAGAGAAGGAGATATATGGCTGAGGAATAGGCAGGTTTTCAGAAGTAGCGCTAGAACACCTACTTTCTGTATTTACACTTTAGAGTGTGTGTGTGTGTGTGTATGTGTATTTACCCCTTGCCATTGGGTGGATGCCCACTCATAGCGACTCTATAGGACAGAGTAGAACTGCCCCATTGGGTTTCCAAGGCTATAATCTTTAAGGAAGCACACTGCCACCTCTCTCTCCTGCAGAGCGTCTGGTGGGTTCAAACCACCCATCTTTCAGTTAGCAGCCAAACATTTAACCACTGTGCCACAGGGCTCCTTCTGTGTCTGTGTGTGTGTGTGCGTATGTGTGTGTGTGTATTTCTCTATTAGATTTCCATCTGTTTTGTTCCTACTTTATCCCCGGTGCCTATAACAATGTCTGGTGCATGGCTGGCACTCAATAAACATTTATTGAAAGGATAAATAAACGAACCAATGAATAGATGGGGAGAGGAATATCAGAGTAAACCCCATGGATAAAAGCAAGGACAAAAGAAAGTGTCTAGTTTACTTAGAAAAGGGTGCTGACAGGGGGATCCTGGCCTCCCACAGAGGGGAGGAGAAGGGATAACTAAGGATCCAGTAAACACAAATGCCCCTTACTGATGAGAATTTTGGTGGATTGGGAATTTAGATGTCATTTGCATGGCTGATTTGCAGAATTTCTCTTTTCAAACTAAAGCCCCAAGCACTGATGTCTTTGGAAATTACGGAAACCAAGGCTTCAAACGGGTTCATTCCAGTTTGAACCCCTGCTGAGAATTTGCCGCTCTAACAAGTTCCCAGGAGATGCTAACGCTGCTGCGTAGGGACCAATTCTGAGAACCACTAGTAGAGCAGTAGTTCTCAAAATTTATTATACATAAGAATCACCTGGGTATCTTGTTAAAATGTAGATTCTGATTCAGGATATCTGGGGTGGAAATGCAAATTCTCAGCAGGGGTTTGAACCGGATTGAACCATTTGGAAGCCCTCAGTGAAACTGAAGGGAAAGCGCTCCTTGTTGAAACATGGAAATGAAATGCCTAAGTCAGCCCTAATAACTAATCATCACAAAGCTCTCCTCTGTATGTCACGGGTGGGTCTTTGACAGCATGTGACATACAATGACAGTGAAGGAAAAATGTGTTTGTAATTATAATAAAGATGGAAATTACGGAAATCATCAGGAGTGTCTGAATTCAAAATACCAATGAATGCAAATCGTGTTATTTGCATAGAAATGTGGCATTGCTACAGATATTGGTTAAAATTCAGAAGTAGATGAATAATGAATAAAATGCCATTTTTTTAATTACAAGATAAAAATGTAGTGACTCTTCTTTTTTGGAAAAATCTCCCTCTTAGAAGTGCTTAATAGAAGAAGAGGAACTGAAAATAAATGGGGTACTGAAGACTTTCAATACACCACGGTCTTTTTTTTAATGTTAAGAAATGACTCCCTAATCAGTGTCTGTGATAATGATCTATAGTCTTACCAGGGCAAGACTGATGATAAATATCAAGCACTGATTTTTTAATAACATGAAGAAAAGATAAACAACACATTTTCAGGTAGAAGCCAGCCAGTCCTCCTTAATGGGAAGTTGTTGCCGTCCAGCTATTGGAAGGTAATTCAAGTAAAATCTTTTTAAGGTGTCATTTTCATGTAAATAACCTAGCAGAAGACTTTTAAACCGTTGATGCCCAAAGCTTATTTTTACCTAAGGCTCAGATAGTAAGAATGTTTGAAATAATTGTGTTCTTGTCTAATTACATAAAGACTAATGTAGAATCTCATTTATTTGGAGAGTCTTTGGCATAACAAATCCATTTAAAAATGACACAATTAAAACTAAAGCTGAAATCAAGATGAAAAAGGCAAATCTGAAACTGGTTTAGACTTCTCTGATTTGTCCGGGAGGCACAGTCAAGTGGGGGAGGGCCTTAATAAACTTTCAAAGATGCAAAGAACGAGGCAGGACAATGCAATGCAGCTCGCTAAGGCACCAACACTTTTTTGAGTCTTTCCAGTATACGACTAGTTTCAGAGCTGACCATATACAACTAGGAGGGTTGACCTGGTTGAATGTGGATGAGCGTTCAGGATTCCCAGCCATTGGACACCTTCCCACATGTCTCCTGTCCTGGAAGGGAATGTCAGTAAAGGGAGAGGACATCATCCAGACAAACAGACCATTGTATATGTATAGGGTTATATAGCAGTGAGCCTTGTATATAACCAGCCATGGGCACTGCTTGAGCAATAACACAAAAAAAGCATTCCAAGTGGTCTTTGATAATGCATTTTGCAGTTTGCGAATGATTTTTACATACATAATCTCAATTCATCCTCACACCAACCCCAAGTATTATCCCTGCCCTAGAAATACACTCAGGCTGTGTATAGGAGGGCCACTTGCAACATTTTGCTAAATCTAGATCATTCCCCCAAGATCATATTGGCTGAGCCATAAAGCGAATGTCCAGGCCTCTCCCAAGGACCAAGCTCGAAATGTGAGTGATAACAGTGTTTCTCAAGGTGTGGTCCCTTACTAGAAGCATTAGCATCACCTGGAAAGTTGTTAAAAATGCAAATTCTCGGGACTCAATCCACATTGAATGAATCACAAACTCTGGGTATGGGGCTCAACAGTCTGCATTGTAATAAACCCTCCAGATGCTTCTGATGCTGACTCAAGTTGAGACCCTCTAGTCTAAGTATGGGGCCCTAGTGGCACGGTGGTTAAGAGCTCAGGCTGCTAACCAAAAGGTCAGCAGTTCAAATCCACCAGCTACTCCTTGAAAACCCTACGGGGCAGTTCTACTCTGTCCTATAGGGAATTGACTTGGCAGCAATGGGTTTGTGCTTTTGGTTTGGTTAAATACAGTTCATTGAGAACTGACTCTGTGTTAGGTCCAAATACCAATTTTATTTTAGATTAAAATGTGATTTTTTTTCCCCCAGTTTTAAGGCTTGTTGTCTATCCTCCTTTCTTGCTGCATTATATAGAATGTTTATCTAGAAAGATTGCTAGATATAAAAAGAAGCTAACATCCCAGTAGAGGTTGATTTACCAAGAATCTGATTGTCATTCTGGGTCATCTGAGAAACAGTAAAAGTCAGCTAGAAAGGGATCCTTCATGAGATTATGCCTTCACTGTCATCAATAGGAGTAGCAACTTCAGTCTGTCAGCCAACACATATTTCTGGAACCCCTACCACTACAGGAACTGGGGATACCTCAATTACCGATTAAGGAATGCTCCCTTCTCCTGGGGGCTTACAGTCCAGCAGGAATGACACAATGAGGAAATGTCATGGGAGCAAACACAGAGAAACTAACCTAACAGCAGGGGTTTATGTGAGCATAGAGAGGCAACAGCCCAGGACATAATGGTTGCATTATTACCTGAGTTTATCTGCAGGATGCAGCACCCTCCTATCAATAACTATGGCTCTCTCAAAACAGCAGGGAAAGACAGCATCCTTCCTAGAAGGAAGGTTTCCCGTCTCCTTCCTGGATCACTCTTTCCTTTCTCCAGAGTTACTCCAATAGGGGGGACAGGCATGGATAAGGCCGGATTAGGGGGAAGGGTGAGTGTGAATTTTCTAGCCTGGAGTCTGGTTTTAGTACTTCCCACTACCTATTATTTTTAGCTATTAGCTTGGTTATTCCTGTTCTGAATTTAATATATTCGCATTAAGGCTTTTTTTTTTTTTTTCCATAAAACTCAGTTTTAAAAGAGAAAACTTGTGAAATAGGTCTTCCTAATTAAATCCAATTAAACACAAATTATTGAATTCTTGGTAAATGTCAGGCTGCCATGGAGCCTGAGACTGGAGTCTACCCCTGCCACCTGCCTTGTACAAATCTCCCCACAGTTACCCCATAATATGATGTCCAAAAAAAATCGCTGCCAGGTACAAACCCAGGTACACACTTACTGTTGTCTTCAGCAACACGACATCTGCCTCTTGCAAGGAACATGGGACACAACGTGCCCATACATGCCAAGCTGGTCTCCAGTAAAACACCAAGGGGAGGATCCCAAGTGAGAAGATGGATCCAGCAAGGCAGAGAATTTTCCTGCAGCATTGAGTCCGATAGCCAAATATCTCCTGGGACAAAACCAAAATGATCCCAAATAGTGGTTAATTACAATAAACAGTAAATGAGAAAGGACTAATTTTAGTGATAAAACTGGGGGCTAGGAGTAGAGAAGTTGAGGAGGGAAGGGGAGGATGGATTGAGGGATTAAGAGGGTAGAGAAGGAATCTTGACCAAAAAATGTAAGGCATTATCCAAGCCCTCCGAATGCCACAGTATAACTGGGTGTCATAGATTGAATTGTGTCCCCCAAAAAGAAATGTGAAAGTCCTAATCCCTGCATCTATAAACATGCCCCTGTTCAGAAATAAGGATTTTCTTTTGTTAAGTTAATGAGGTCATGCTAGAGTAGGGTGCCTCCTAAATCTAATCCCTTCTGAGTATGTCTTATAAAGAGAGCAGAATAGACGCAGACAAACACACGCAGGAGGAAGACACACACCATGTGAAGACTTGTCTACAAGCAAAGGAACGCCAAGGATCACCAGCAAACACCAGAAACTAGGAGGGAGGATCACAGAGGGAAGTAACATGGCCAGAACATGATTTGGACTTTTAGCCTCCAGAACTGTGAGCCAATAAATTTCTGTTCTTTAAAGCCACTCACTTGTGGTATATTTTTTGTTATGGCAGCACTAGGTAACTAAGACACTGAGAATACTCCATTTCTACACTTTTGAGCTCCTGGCTAGCCTGTGCCAATCACTATGCTACGTGTTCAGACACATTAGTCTATTTAAGTCTCCCAACCATCCACTAAATAAGATAATATTACTACCATTTCATAAATGATGGGACTGATCACAGAAAGGCTGAATGACCTTCCCTAGACCATACAGCTAAGATATTCTGCTAAGATTCAAACCCAGATCTGCAGGCCTCCAAGTTTTGAATTTAATCCATAGACTTTAATAGACAATGAGCCATGGGGCAGAAGGAGTAGATGAGGGTAGCAACCAATGATCCCTTGGGCTGGGACCAGTGGCCTTGTGGGCAGAAGAGACTAGAATCAGGTCTTGAGTCTGGAGTCAGGATTTGGTGAAAAATCTGACCACAGGAGAATTAACAACTAAATGGAACTTGCCTCTGGGAGTTTGGGGTAGAGCTATGCATTCCCATTCTCCTCCATTTTCAGTAAGAAAAATAATCTTACATTAGGGAGAAAAACCATAGAGACTATTTGGTTTACTTCAACTCATGTTTATCGAGCATTTGCTATGTGCCTTGAGGGGACATTGGGCCCTGGAGAATATAAATATGAACAAGATATGGTTCCTACATCTAATAAATTTATTGTCTGGACAACCTTCTTTCTCCCAAGTAAGGTATGGGACAGACTGAAAAACCACCCCTGAAGCTTCTGGACTCAGTCCCACAGCCATATCCCTCAAAACAATCAGTGTATTTAAAACCTATTTTATACTGGATAAAATGCCTAAAATTGAGAACTAGTAGAGTGTACTGGTTAAAAACACAGTCTCTAGACTAAACACTTTGGTTCAAAGCATAGCTCTACCACTTACCATGTATGTGACCTCAGGCTAGTTATTTAACCTGTTTATTCCACAGTTTGTTCTTCCATAAAATGTGGGTGGTGATAGACTCCACCTCACTGAGTTACTGTGAGAATTAAATGAGTTGATACATCGAAGGGATAGAAGTGTTTACTACTATCGCTGCTGCCGCTACTGCTACACAATGATCATTTCTTGGCCTCACTTCCCCAGTAAAGACTGAAATCCTATCACTAGTTTATTGGCATTTTAGATCCAAGAATGTCTGGTTTCCATAGTTCTGCTCTTGCTAGGATTGCCCCTTAGGATAACAAGGGAGCTAGAACATGGAACTTTAAATCCACCAGCTTCTCTAGCACACCTGATAAAGATTACATGAATGGAAAAGGTTTTGTGATCAGTGTTGAAAGCTGCTTTCACGTGTAATTACTAGGTGTCCTTTCTATTACTCGCAGCACACATGGGTGCAGATGGCTTTCTAAAATCTTGTCCACATTTGGCATGCCTTTGATGAAATGTTCACGTTTCCTCGGAAATACAAGCTCTCCACTGGTTTTACAAAGTAGGATATCTATCCTGACATGAAATCTCTTCTGTCCCAAGCTCACGCTATTGCTTTCCAAATGCCAAGCCTGGAATAGCTCTGTTGCCCCATCACGATTGCAACAATGCTCTATTGTTTTCACACTGAGCAGCGTCCCAGTCTTAATTTGCATATCTGTCCTGAGTCCATCCCACCATTTTCCCCTGTGATTTTTCATGTCCCTTGGCATAAATAAACTTCTACCCTCCAAAGTAAAATTTTGCTAAAGATCATTCAAAAGTGGCTGCGGCAGTATGTCGACAGGGAACTGCCAGAAATTCAGGCCAGATTCAGAAGAGGACATGGAACCAGGGATATCATTGCTGATGTCAGATGGATCCTGACTGAAAGCAGAGAATACCAGAAAGATGTTTACCCGTGTTTTATTGACTATGCAAAGGCATTCGATGGTGTGGCTCATAACAAATTATGGATAACATTGCGAAGAATGGGAATTCCAGAACACTTAATTGTGCTCATGAGGAACCTGTACACAGATCAAGAGGTAGTTGTTCAGACAGAACAAGGGGATACTGCGTGGTTTAAAGTCAGGAAAGGTGTGCGTCAGGGTTGCATCCTTCCACCATACCTATTCAATCTGTATGCTCAGCATATAATCCGAGAAGCTGGACTATATGAAGAAGAAACGGACATTAGGATTGGAGGAAGACTCAGTAACAACCTGCGATATGCAGATGACACAGCTTTGCTTGCTGAAAGTGAAAAGGACTTGAAGCACTTACTGATGAAGATCAAAGACCACAGCCTTCAGTATGGGTTACACCTCAACACAAAGAAAACAAAAATCCTCACAACTGGACCAATAAGCAACATCATAATCAACGGAGAAAAGACTGAAGTTGTCAATGATTTCATTTCACTTCCTCGATCAACACCCATGGAAGCAGCAGTCGGGAAATCAAAGGACTCATTGCATTGGGCAAATCTGCTGCAAAAGACCCTTTAAAGTGTTGAAAATCAAAGATGAAAATCACCTTGAAGACTAAGGTGCGCCTGACCCAAGCCATGGTATTTTCAATCGTATCATATGCATGAGAAAGCTGGACAATGAATAAGGAAGACTGAAGAAGAATTGACGCCTTTGAATCGTGGTGTTGGCGAAGAGTATTGAATATACCATGGACTGCCAAAAGAATGAACAAATCTGTCTTGAAAGAAGTACAACCAGAATGCTCCTTAGAAGGAAGGATGGCGAGACTACATCTTACATACTTTGGACATGTTGTCAGGAGGGACCAGTCCCTGGAGAAGGACATCATGCTTGGTAAAGTATAGTGTCAGTGAAAAAGAGGAAGACCCTCAACGAGATGGACTGACATGGTGGCTGCAACAATGGGTTCAAGCATAACAACGATTGTGAGCATGGCGCAGGACCAGGCAGTGTTTCGTTTTGTGGTGCATAGTGTCGCTATGAGTTGGAAGCGCCTTGACAGCACCTAACAACAACAACCACAACCCTCCAAACAAGCCATTTTATCATCTTTTCAAAACATTTTATGTTAAACCAAAAAAAAAAAACCCATTGCCGTTGAGTCAATTCCAACTCATAGCAACTCTATAGGACAGAGTAGAGCTACCCCATAGGATTTCTAAGGAGCAGCTGGTGGATTCAAATTGCCAACCTTTTGGTTAGCAGCCGAGCTCTTAATCACTGCACCACTAGGACTCCATTTTATGTTAAAGCTTCTTACATTGCCAGTCAATGAAACCCCCGTATAAACTGCATGAGTTACTCTGTTCTATACAGCAAATCTCCATTACATATGTTTTTTTACAGGCCGCATAACACAATTCCTCCGTAGTTTCCAAAGTGTCTTTGTGTTCATGATCAAAACAAAATAAACAGGAATTATCATCTTCATTTTCTATGTCAGAAAGCTAAAGTTTACAGTTATTACTGGTAATAATAGCTGTTATGAACAACTACATAATTATTACTGGTAACAGTAATAGTAGCTAACACTGACTGAGAGCTGAAGAGCCCTTCACTAAGTACCTTGCACATACTCTCCCTTTTAGTTTAAAAAGATTGACTTCCCAAGCACAAAGCTAATGAGTAATTCAAAATAAGCCTCCAGTCTGGACCTTTCAGCCCAGGGCTTTGTTCACACTGTACCACTCTGCTTGGATTTATAAGTGGTTTCCCAGATACAGATGAGGATTTTCTCTCCCCTTCTTTCCACACAGGTGAGTTGATGAGATCCTCCAGAATCGAGCTGAGAGTTAGCTGGGAGTAGGGAAAGTCAGTGGAAGACAACGAGCTGGTCATTTCTACACAAAGGCTCTTCCTCATTCTGGTTTTAATTTCAGTTCAATATAACAAGTGTTTATTAAGTGTCTGCAGGCATGTGCTAGGCATAGAGGTAAATAAGACAATGACTCCAGCCTCAAGCTGCTCATTAGTTTAATGGAGAATAGAGATCCACAAACAGGTAAGTTGAAACAAGGCCAGAACAATGGAAGAGTTATATAGAGGGGTGATCATATGAATTATTATCTATAAGGTGCTATTAATAATTACACTAAGACCACAGGGTAGACCAGAAGTGTCCCAGGCAAGTCAGGCAAATGCCTCCCTGGTTATACCAGAGAGTTAGTCTAAGAGCTTGTCTCAGTGGCTTATGACCTATCATAGGCACATAAACCCATTGCCAAATTTTCTGTGGATAGGCTAGAATGAGGATTGAAAATTGCCTGTTGAATTGAACTGATTTGAAATGAATTGTATTGTAGGGACTCTTGACAGATATTGGGTTAAAAACTGCAAAAATTATCATGGCACTGTTTATTATTGCTCTGTAGCAATTTACTTCATACATTTATAGAATGCCTTCCATGTCCCTAGAAGCCCTGGTTACGCAGTGGTTAAGCACTCAGCTGCTAACCAAAAGGT